CCACAATCATCTCTTTCTTATCATTTGCACAACATCCACGCACATTCAGACTTCCCACTTTGACAATTTTCTTCTTCTTATTCTTTTTAGTAATCTTTACAGGAAAAGGGTTACTAGCCCATGTTCCCGCATTTTAGTTGACTTTTACAACACGCATGGCTTACGGAGGAAAGATTCTTATTCCACTTCCCCATGGATATAAAAGGAAAAGTAATGAGACCAAGAACTATTAAGATAAAATCAAAGAAAACTCAGATGAGTGTGTATAAATAAACGTGTACATGTATGTGTAGTGTGACCTAAGTGTAAGTAGAAGTAGCAAGACGTACATGTAATCTTGCATATTTATGAGACAGACAAAAGACACCAGCAATCCTACCATCATGTAAAACAATTACAGGCTTTCATTTTACACTCACTTGGCAGGACGGTAGTACCTCCCTGGGTGGTTGCTGTCTACCAACCTACTACCTACATGTACATACATTTTTTTTTTTTCAACAAGTCGGTCGTCTCCCACCGAGGCAGGGTGACCCAAAAAAGAAAGAAAATCCCCAAAAAGAAAATACTTTCATCATCATTCAACACTTTCACCACACTCACACATTATCACTGCTTTTGCAGAGGTGCCCAGAATACAACAGTTTAGAAGCATATACTTATAAAGATACACAACATATCCCTCCAAACTGCCAATACATACATACATGTACATACATGTACAAGCATATATATACACACCCCTCTGGCTTTTCTTCTATTTTCTTTCAAGTTCTTGTTCTTGTTTATTTCCTCTTATCTCCATGGGGAAGTGGAACAGAATTTTTCCTCCGTAAGCCATGCGTGTTGCAAGAGGCGACTTAAATGCCAGGAGCAAGGGGCTAGTAACCCCTTCTCCTGTATATATTACTAAATGTAAAAGGAGAAACTTTCATTTTTCCTTTTGGGCCACCCTGCCTCGGTGGGACACGGCTGGTGTGTTGAAAGAAAAAGATTTTTTGAAGTGCTTTAAGTGTATTTTTGGGCTCTGAAACGGACTAATCTACTTTACATTATTCCTTATGGGAACAAATTCGTTTGGTATTGGCACTCGAACAGCCTTCTGGAACGAATTAATTTCATAACTCGAGGTACCTGGTCACAGACCGGGCCGCGGGGGCATTGACCCCTGGAACTCTCTCCAGGTAACTCCAGGTACCACTGTATTCCTACATCTTTGCTACATCAAGGGCAAAAAACCACACTCAACAACCTTACTACACCTTAAATACTGTTTATGTAAAAATGTTTATGCAAATTCAGAACAATGTGACATTCTATTAACGGTTGCTGGAATGATTGGCACAGTTCACAGAGCATACTCAAGATATTATTATGCTGAATTTTTTATGTTCTTACCAAGTTTAGAACAGATGCAAAGAACCTGGAACAAATGTACAGCATAAAATAAGGAAAACTTGTACAAAAAATTTAATAATATCCACTAGTTTGACTTGCTGAGTAGACTTCAGGATGTACATGTTTATAGAGGGGCCACAGATATATCAGATCACTTTCTAGTTGTAGCTACACTGAGAGTAAAAGGTAGATGGGATACAAGGAGAATAGAAGCATCAGGGAAGAGAGAGGTGAAGGTTTATAAACTAAAAGAGGAGGCAGTTAGGGTAAGATATAAACAGCTATTGGAGGATAGATGGGCTAATGAGAGCATAGGCAATGGGTCGAAGAGGTATGGGGTAGGATTAAAAATGTAGTGTTAGAGTGTTCAGCAGAAGTTTGTGGTTACAGGAAAGTGGGTGCAGGAGGGAAGAGGAGCGATTGGTGGAATGATGATGTAAAGAGAGTAGTAAGGGAGAAAAAGTTAGCATATGAGAAGTTTTTACAAAGTAGAAGTGATGCAAGGAGGGAAGAGTATATGGAGAAAAAGAGAGAGGTTAAGAGAGTGGTGAAGCAATGTAAAAAGAGAGCAAATGAGAGAGTGGGTGAGATGTTATCAACAAATTTTGTTGAAAATAAGAAAAAGTTTTGGAGTGAGATTAACAAGTTAAGAAAGCCTAGAGAACAAATGGATTTGTCAGTTAAAAATAGGAGAGGAGAGTTATTAAATGGAGAGTTAGAGGTATTGGGAAGATGGAGGGAATATTTTGAGGAATTGTTAAATGTTGATGAAGATAGGGAAGCTGTGATTTCGTGTATAGGGCAAGGAGGAATAACATCTTGTAGGAATGAGGAAGAGCCAGTTGTGAGTGTGGGGAAGTTCGTGAGGCAGTAGGTAAAATGAAAAGGAGGGTTTAAGGGGCCCGGGAATTTATGGGGTAAAATAGAAAAGGGTTTTTAAAAAACAAATGGGGATATAGTTTTGGAAATGGTTGGAGCAATTATTTAATAAATGTATGGGAAGGGGGGTAAAGGTACCCAGGGGGTGGCAGAGGGGCCTGCATAGTTCCTTTGTAAAAAAGGCAAAGGGGATAAAAAAGAGTGCAAAAAAATTTTAGGGGGGTAAGGTTCTGTTTATTTTCCCCTGGGGAAGTGGAAAAGAATTTTCCCCCGTAAACCATGCGTGTTGTAAAAGGCTACTTAAAAAGCCGGGGGCAAGGGGGTAGTAACCCCCTTTTGCTGTTTTATATTTTTAAATGTAAAAAGGGGGAAACTTTTGGTTTTTTCCTTTTTGGGGCCAACCCCCCCTCCGGGGGGATAAAGGGGCCCGGGGTGTTTAAAAGAAAAAAAAAGAAGTTGTTGGAATTGTACCTGGGAAAGTGTAAGGTAGAGTTAAATTTAAAGAATTAAGGGGTAAGACGGAAAAATAGGATAGCAGATGAACAAGGGGCTTTAGGAAAGGTAGGGGGGGTGTGGACCGGTGTTTACGTGAAACATATAAGTTAACGTTTTTAGATAAGTCTAAAGAGGGTTTTTTGTGGCTTTTAGGATTTGGAAAAGGCATATGACAGGGTGGATAGGGGGGCAATGTGGCAGATTTGCAAGTGTATGGGGTAGGGGGGTTGGTTCCGAAAACAGGGAAGATTTTTTTCGAGGATAGTGAGGGTCAAATTAGAGTATGTAAAGGGAAAAAGGGAAATTTTTTCCCAGTAAAAATAGGCCTTTGACAAGGATGTGTGATGGGCAAACCCTGGTTGTTTAATATATTTATAGATGGGGGTTTTTAAGAGAAGTAAATTTTCGAGGGTCTTGGCAAGAGGCGTGGGGTTAAAAGATAAAGAATCACACACAAAGTGGGAGTTGTCACAGCTGCTCTTTGCTGATGACACTGTGCTCTTGGGAGATTCGGGAAGAGAAGTTGCAGAGATTGGTGGATGAATTTGGTAGGGTGTGCAAAAGAAGAAAATTAAAGGTGAATACAGGAAAGAGTAAGGTTATGAGGATAACAAAAAGATTAGGTGATGAAAGATTGAATATCAGATTGGAGGGAGGGGAGTATGGAGGAGGTGAAGTATTCAGATATTTGGGAGTGGACGTGTCAGCGGATGGGTCTATGAAAGATGAGGTGAATCATAGAATTGATGAGGGAAAAAAAAAGAGTGAGTGGTGCACTTAGGATCTGTGGAGACAAAGAACTTTGTCCTTGGAGGCAAAGAGGGGAAAGTATGAGAGTATAGTTTTACCAACGCTCTTGTATGGGTGTGAAGCGTGGTGATGAAAAGTTGCAGCGAGGAGAAGGGTGGAGCAGTGGAGATGTCATGTCTGAGGGCAATGTGTGGTGTGAATATAATGCAGAGAAATTTGTAGTTTGGAAGTTAGGAGGAGGTGCGGGATTACCCAAAACTGTTGTCCAGAGGGCTGAGGGAAAGGGGTTTTTGAGGTGGTTCGGACATGTAGAGAGAATGGAGCGAAACAGAATGACTTCAAGAGTGTATCAGTCTGTAGTGGAAGGAAGGCGGGGTAGGGTCGGCCTAGGAAAGGTTGGAGGGAGGGGGTAAAGGAGGTTTTTTTGTGCGAGGGGCTTGGACTTCCAGCAGGCATGCATGAGCGTGTTTGATAGGAGTGAATGGAGACAAATGGTTTTTAATACTTGACGTGCTGTTGGAGCGTGAGCAAAGTAACATTTATGAAGGGATTCAGGGAAACCGGCAGGCCGGACTTGAGTCCTGGAGATGGGAAGTACAGTGTCTGCACTCTGAAGGAGGGGTGTTAATGTTGCAGTTTAAAAACTGTAGTGTAAAGCACCCTTCTGGCAAGACAGTGATGGAGTGAATGATGGTGAAAGTTTCTTTTTCGGGCCACCCTGCCTTGGTGGGAATCGGCCAGTGTGATAATAAAAAAAAAAAAAATAAGTTTGACTTGCCAACTATCTTACGTCAAAACTAACCAGCATTTTTTTTTTCCAGTTTATTAATATTAAAAGCCTGGCACATGCTTACTACAGTGCTCCTCAATTTTTGTGTAATGGTGTAAGCAGGACCTAAGTAGCATGAGCAAGTATCATATTTTCCTGCATATAAGGCATGCCAGTTTTCCCAAGTCTCGGAAAATCAGCTTGCACCTTATATGCTCAAGGGTAGGCTTTGGGTTATGTTTTAGCATAAAGTATCAGGGTCATTAGCCCTTGAATATGGTTACCGTTTTGCCATTACAATACTTCTGTCGTGCGCCTTACGTGCCTGAAAATACAGGTCTCCCCCTGTGATGCTTTATTCTTGCGTTTATAAAGCACTTGGCCTGCCCATTTCCGTAAGTTATAATATTTTTTTTTTTCCAAATTTCATCCAAAATGTTGCATCAAGACCATTTAACCTTTTTTCAAGTCTCAAAATCCAAGGTAGAATTTTTTTTTTTATTATTATCACACTGGCCGATTCCCACCAAGGCAGGGTGGCCCGAAAAAGAAAAACTTTCACCATCATTCACTCCATCACTGTCTTGCCAGAAGGGTGCTTTACACTACAGTTTTTAAACTGCAACATTAACACCCCTCCTTCAGAGGGGGGGGGGTGAAATTTTTAGTGCTTTCCTAAAAGTATTATTACAAAAAGAAATAACCTTACCTGCTTCATTGCCTTTGTCTGGGCAGCAGAACCAACACGAGATACAGAGAGACCAACATTAATGGCTGGGCGAATACCCTTGTAGAAGAGCTCAGTCTCCAAGAAGATCTGTCCATCAGTGATGGAGATCACATTGGTCGGAATGTAAGCAGATACATCACCAGCCTGAGTCTCAATAACTGGCAGGGCAGTAAGAGATCCACCACCATGTGCATCGTTCATCTTGGCAGCACGTTCGAGAAGACGAGAGTGAAGATAGAACACGTCGCCAGGGTAAGCCTCACGACCAGGTGGACGACGCAGCAGCAGGGACATCTGACGATAGGCTACAGCCTGCTTGGACAAGTCGTCATAAATGATGAGGGCATGTTTGCCATTGTCACGGAAGTATTCACCCATAGCACAACCAGCATAGGGTGCCAAGTATTGAAGTGGAGCAGCATCAGAGGCAGTAGCAGATACCACAATTGTGTACTTCATGGCATCTGTTGAGAACATTAATAAAAAAATTTTGGTATGTAAAAAGTCATGCATTAAAAAAATTCTTACAGTAACTACTGGGCATAAATGATGTAGAAAGACATTTTCATGTGCCACTTAATGTAGTATACAGTAGATCATCAATTATCAGTCCCTGGGAAAAACTGCACTGGAACTTGAACATCTAATTATCATCAGTTTTATGATTCCTTTGTTTAACACATTCCTCCTTTGCACTACCTATAAATGGTGGATGAAAAACGACTACCGGATAATATTAAAATGCCAAATGACATTGTTGGATAACTGCGATATACTAACTATACACGATCGCAACAATACTATTGGGGAATCAACAGAACAGGCCCTTTACCAGATGAAACATTAAAGACACAGATGGAAACGATGCATTCAAGCCATGAGGAAAAAACTGCTTCAACTTGTCATACATAAATGACCTGAATGACAGACTATACATGGTTTAAAAATAGCATACTATTCCATACCAGTGAAGGAGTGAAACCAAAGCCCACCTAAAGCTCAATTATATAATGATCTACTGAAGTAATCAGATCAATTTTAGAAATACATTTTAAAACAAAAATGTGACAACTCAAGTAATGTCAGTCCTACCACAATTATTAGTTTCACAAAAGTTTTATTTGCAGATTTTCCAAGACAATCAACTACTCCTAATATTTAGAAAATAGCAATCAATAAGAATATTATACCAAAATTTCTAAAACATGAACAGACAACAATATGCTGTCTGAGCACACATTTTGGTTAAACCTTGTATATGTACTTTCACCAATGGATTCTTCAAATTTATTTAGATGCAAACATAGTTTATAGAAAACTATAATGATTCAGTTGTACAAACAACATCCACATGGAAGGTAACATGTATAGCCCATGGGACTGGTATAACAGTTCCAATTATAGAGGACTTTGAACAGTAAAAAGCCGACATTTTATTCAGAAAGAAAAATGGAGGTTTCCTACATTTAAAATTTTAACTGTCAGGAAAATTAAACATAAAATGAACTTTTAAATTTTATAATAAAAATGTGTAGTATTATGATTAATAGATATCATAATATGCGAGTAGCGAGGTTGAAAGATGGTAACTATTCTCTTAAAAAAATTAACAAGTGCTTTGCACTCATAATTGTTGGTCTTCCTTCTGAACTCATGAACACTAAAAATGTGATAAACTTTATTCACTATCATTCAATTTTTCTTTGTCTTCCTGTTGTGGAGACAGAGTACAATGGCAGCACCATGAAAGTATAGGTTGGTATGTTCTGGCTGCTTCAGTGGATTACCGATTTTGTATACCTGGAGAGGGTTTCGGGGGTCAATGCCCCCGCGGCTCAGTCCGAGATCAGAATAACACCTAGGAAATTACTGACTAGTGAATGTTATCCTTCTTCATTACACAGTGAACATCCAAATATACGGTACTAGATTTATCTATTAATTCTATCAACACATCAGTCGTCTCCCACCAAGGTAGGGCAACCCAAAACACTGTCTTGTCAGAGGGGCACCAATACTTGATAAAAACTGCAAACATCTCCACCCCTCCTGGATATACAGAGTAAATATATTATAAATCTTACCAGCATCTGTGAGCCTCTTCACAATTTGGGCAACAGTAGACCTCTTCTGGCCAATGGCAACATAGATACAATACAATTTCTTCTTCTCTTCAGCACCATCATTGAAACGCTTCTGGTTAATAATAGTGTCAATAGCAATAGCAGTTTTACCAGTCTGACGATCACCAATGATCAACTCTCGCTGTCCACGGCCAATTGGCACTAAGGAGTCGACAGCCTTAATACCAGTCTGCATAGGCTCTCTCACAGAAATGCGTGGAATGATACCTGGGGCTTTCACACCAACACGAGCTCTGAAAAAATTGACTTTTATAAGAATATAAAGGAGGAACATTGCAGTAGGCCTATTGGCCCATACTGGGCAGGTCCTTCACAAATCCAACCCACTAACAGAATATTTGCCAAACCCAATTTAGCTCTACCCTGACAATAAGCTATGATGTGCAAGTCCCACTCAAATCCAATCCCTCTCACTCGTGTATTTATCCAACCTAAATTTGAAACTACTCAAAGGTTTAACTTCAATAACCCTACTAGGCAGACTGTTCCACTCATCAATTACCCTATTTCCAAACTAATACTTTCCTATATCCTTCCTAAATCTAAACTTATCTAATTTGAATCCATTATTGTGGGTTCTTTCTTAGAGAGATCCTCAAGACCTTATATATATCCCCTTTGTTAATACCCATCTTTCACTTAAACACTTTGATCACGTCTCCCCTCATTCTTCGTCTTACAAGTGAATGTAATTTAAGAGACCTCCATCTTTCTTCATATGGAAGATTTCTAATGCTATGAATTAATTTTGTCGTTCTTCACTGAATGTTTTTTAACAAATTTATATCTATTCTGTAATATGGAGAGCAGAACTGAGCTGCGTAATCTAGGTGGGCCTTATTCATGATGTATAAAGCTGTAGTATAACCATTGGATTTCTGCTGCTTACCCTTCTTGATATAAATCCAAATAATCTATTTGCCTTATTACGCATGCTGTCTTGGTTTAAAGTTGCTGGTTACCATAACCCCCAATTCCTTTTAGCATTCTGTACGGCTAAGTTGTACACTATTAAGCTGATAGGTGCTAGGGTTATGAACGTTCCCAAGCTTTAGAACTTTGCATTTATCTACATCGAACTGCATCTGCCACTTTTCTGGCCATGAATTGAGTTTGTCTAAATCCTCCTGAAGTTCTATGACATCTACATTTGAATCGACTATCATACCTATCTGTGTCATCAGCGAATTTGCTCATATCACTAGTAATTCCCTCGTCAAGGTCACTGATATATATATTATAAATAACAACGGACCTAAAACTGATCCCTGTGGAATGCCACTTGTTACAGATCCCCACTCAGACTTAACCCCATTTATGCACACTCTGCTTCTTATTGGTGAGCCATGACTTGAACCATGACAGCACTTGTCCCTCAATGCCATGAGCTGCCACTTTAACAGTCTCTGATGTGGTACTCTATCAAAAGCCTTACTAAAATTAGTTGTGGAGTTACTACAAGTATTATTCAGAAGGCTGAAGAACGGTTGTTAAGGCGGTTTAGTCATTTAGAGAGGATGGAGCAAAATGGGATGAGTTCGAGGGTTTATAAATCTGTAGTGGAGGGGAGGAGGGGTTAGGGTCATCCTAGGAAATGAGTAAGGAGGGCGTAAAAGAAGTTTCGTATGCAAGAGGCCTGGACATGTAGAAGGCACATGTGAGCATGTTAGAGAGGAGTGAATGATTTTTGGGATCCGATGAGCTGTTGAAGTGTGAACAGGGTAATATTTTATGAAGGGATTCAGGGAAACCAGTTAGCCAGACTTGAGTCATGGAGGTGGGAAGCACAATGCCTGCACTTTAGAAGAGGGGTCTGGGATATTGGCTGCTTTGGAGTGACATATCAACTGTCATATCTGGGTGCCTCTGCAAAGACAGTGATTGTGTGTGAATGATGGTGAAAGTGTTCCTTTCCTTTTTAGGTCACCCTGCCTTGGTGGGAGATGGCCGACGTGTTAAAAAAAAAAAAAAGTGTGCTGTATTAGCAAGGTATACCTGTAAAGCTGATGAACACAAGAGCATTAACCACAATACTGGTTTTAGGTTTTGATAATGAAGTCATGTGCACATTACAAATCAGATATGCCTCACCTGTCTCCAACCCTTCAAGCTCCTTTCTTAGATGTCTGTATTAGGAATGACAAAGTCACTTGTGAAAAGTTTCCTTATTTGATGTTATAACTACATATCTTTTTTTAACATCAATTTTCCAGACTAAGAGCTGTTATCCTACCTTAGCTCATTTCAAAGCCCAGCCCTAAGGTATACTAACCCCCCCCCCACCAAGATGTGATCTACAATGGCTGACCAATACCCATGCACCTACTTACTGCTAGGTGAACTAACGCAACAGGTGTAGGGAAACATGCCCAGCGTTTCCACCCATACCGGGGACTGAACCAGGGGCACTCAGCATGTGCGCCGAGTGCACTTCTTCCACATCTTGTTGGCATCACCATCCATACCCTGTACAAACATCGGGTTTCCACTAGAATGAATCTGAAACCTTTTACCAATCCACATGAGCGACTAATTCGTGAGAAAAAAAAAATTAAAATCTTACAGAGTCCTCTGCAGTAAAGTTTTTTGGGAGAAAACATTTGTTTACTAATGTATATAAAATATAAACATTACAAAAAAAAAAGTGGTGTGGGATGATTACATTCAATATTTTGCATGGAAAGTTAATCAATTATAAATAAAAAGGCACAATACTATGACTGTAACAATACACAAATAACCTGCACATAGGTGAACAAAACTTATGACATTTCAGTCAAACTTGGACCATTAATGTTATCATAACTTTCTTTCTCCTATGTGTGGATTGTTTGTGTATTAATCAAATCATACCTATGTCTGGGAACTAAATTTGCTTACATTATTGGAGACACATTACCTTTTTCCTCCAACAATAGGTCCCTTGCCATCAATTGTGTTACCCAGGGCATCAACTACACGTCCAGGATGCCTTCACCCACAGGAACATCCACAATGGCACCAGTACGTTTCACAATATCACCCTCACGAATCAGTTTGTCGTTACCGAACACCACAACACCCACATTGTCAGGCTCCAAGTTCAGAGCCATACCTGCAAGTAAAAAACACTTTAAACAAATCTGGTCTCAGGTGTAAGTCTAAAATCAACATTTCTAATCCACAATTAACACCAATCATATATGGTAACATTTATGAAGGGACTCTGGGAAACAGGCAGCCTGGACTTGAGTCCTGGAGATGGGAAGTACAGTGTCTGCACTCTGAAGGAGGGGTGTTAATGTTGCAGTTTAAAAACTGTAGTGTAAAGCACCCTTCTGGCAAGACAGTGATGGAGTAAATGATGGTGAAAGTTTTTCTTTTTCGGGCCACCCTGCCTTGGTGAGAATCGGCCAGTGTGATAATAAAAAATAATAAATAATATATATTTGCCTCTTGCTATTTATGCATTAAATATAAATTAGTTATTTGTACATTTTATCAATACTGCAACAAGCTACCTATTTAAGTATGATGATAATTCTAACCTTTCATAAATTATGAAAAAATGTGTATGTTACATGGAAAGCTATTTTATCATCACAATAATAAATATTCTCTAACATCCAATGAATTATTCCAATTAATTTATCACAATATCTACCACTAGGGTAGGGCAAATGACAATACATTTTTTTTTTTTTGTTAACAGGTCAGCTGTTTCACACCGAGGAAGGGCGCCCCAAAAAGAAAGAAAAAAACTTTCACCATTCAACACATTCACCATCATTCACACATAATCAATGTCTTTGCAGAGGTGCTCAGACATGACAGTTTAGATGTCACTCCAAACAGCCAATATCCCAAACCCTTCCTTTAACCCTTAAACTGTCCAAACGTAGATCTACGTTCACATGCGTAGCGCAACGATTGTAGATCTACGTTTTAATTTACATGCTTTACGTGAAAAAAAAAGTAGATCTACGTTTGGAGTGCTACGCACATGAACGTAGATCTACATTTGGACAGTTTATGGGTTCAAGTGCAGGCATTGTACTTCCCACCTCCAGGACTCAAGTCTGGCTAACCAGTTTCCCTGAATCCCTTCAAAAATACTATTTTTAGCAATTATGAATTCAAAACGGAAGGTAAGTGTATTAAGCAGAAGCCTGGGGAACTGATTAATGAATAGAAATGTTTTAGTGCAAGGAATGTGTACACTATTTTTTATTATTTTAAAATTGGCATTTAAGATTTGTGTAAAATCGACCAGTTTAATAACTTCTGTGCACTTCATAGGACAAGTTTAATAACTTCTGTGCACTTCATAGGACAAGTTTAATAACTTCTGTGCACTTCATAGGACAAGTTTAATAACTTCTGTGCACTTCATAGGACAAGTTTAATAACTTCTGTGCACTTCATAGGACAATATAACTTCTGTGCACTTCATAGGACAAGTTTATTCTGTGCACTTCATAGGATAACTAGTAGTTGAATGGACAGTTTCTTGTGCTCAATTTATAAAACAGATGGCATACTAGTGAAATAGCTAAGAATTTGGTTGAATGGAGCAATGGAATTGACTTTAATTTTGGATGTCTAGACATTAGAGCACTAATATACCTAATGGGCCTATTAACCTGTCTAGTATAGGCAGAGATTTATACCTCAGAACAAGTTAATTAACTCATGATTGTCACCACAGGAGGGGTTTCGGAAGGGCTGAAGGAAATTATGGGGGGTTTCAGCCCCCCTCTTGACACTGCCATTAAGTGAGGTTATCAGACATGAATTACAGCAGTGTGACAAGTTTACAAATAATATAAGGTATAGCAAATTTGTCAACATACCTTTCAAGCCAGAGGAGAACTCGACCATCTCCTCAGCCTGGATATTCTTCAGGCCATACACACGAGCGATACCATCACCAATACTTAGCACACGACCAGTCTCCTCTAGGTTGACCTTGGGTGCAGCACCTGAAAAAATCAACAGAAGCAAAAAATAGTAAATTGCACTCAATTATGAAGAAAAATGTAAATATATTTTACAGTACAGTATCATCCAGGCATACTAGCTAGTCAGACCAAGTACAGTAGGGCCCCACTTATATGGCAGGTTAGGTTCTAGGCTACCGCCGTAAAGTGGAACACCCTTTTTTTCCCCCCTTATAAATGCATACAAACAATAGATAAGAAGTTTACACTAACATATATTAAGTTAGCAATAGAACCAGGCATCAAAACAATAAAAAAGTACAATACACACAGCGCACTCATTACTTAAAATATTTATAGTCTTAATCTAGGGTGAGACAAGTAGTATTTATTTTAAGAAATCAAGTGTGGTATGTATGGTAGTCAGCTGGGCTACCATACCAGGCCAACCCACCCCCACATACTATTCTATGATATTTAAGCATCCCAGAGCAATAAAATGTATATACAGTCCACTCATTACTTACCTTAAAATATTTGTAGTCTTAATGTAGGGTCAGAAGTAAATGAGATAAAACAAATAAATGAGAGAGAAAGAATACGTGCATGAGAGAGGACAGGCGCAGAGTTATGTAAACAAACCAGGTGAAGGTAAGTTTTGTAAACAAAGTGTACACGTCTGGTTTGTGTACAAGTTACATTGTGTACAAGTTGTCTCTACATTGATACGGTAGAATAAATAAAGAACACTCCCATTCTCATGTAGCATCATTTTGAGAAGAAATGACGCTCTGAGTGAAGGCAATGGAAATAAGTCACTCTGACTTTTTTGGGTTATCCTAGGTTCTCTGCACATGTGTTGTTATGTATGATAATCTATGTAACTATTTGTGTATACCTGAATAAACTTACTTACATATGAAAGGAATAATTTTCTACAGTTACCCCCAGTAACACATTTTCTCTTATGTTAGATTAGAGAAAATGTTATTCTTGCCATCACTTGTACAAGTTATCTGGCTACCACATCTCATATTTATGTTTATCTATTCAATTGTGGGGCGTATTTATCATCTTTTTATGTTATGTATCGTGTTTATTATATAATTTTGAAAAAAAAAAAAATATCATGGATTGATTAATGAAAATGTGTATATTAACGTAATATAAGACATTTAAATGAGACTCGATGATTATTATTATCATTACAAATATGACGTCTGGAGACATAAGAGACACTTACTGATTTTAATGTGTACCTGCATGCCAGCACACTGTATGTAAGTTTATTTAGGTACAGGTATACATAAGTATAATTATCAGAGTATATATAAAATATGAAATAACTTTTAAAAACACTTGAAATTTTGGAGTTTCCAGACAAAATGGAGAGACTTAGTGCTTACTGAGCTCACAGAGAATGTATACAAACAGGGTGGGGCACGGTGACCGTATTAGAAAGTCAGGTGGGGGGAGCCGTATAGCGAGTTTTGGTCATAATTTGAAATGACCATATTAGCGGAATGCCGTAAATTGAAACTCCGTAAAGCGGGGCCCTACTGTACTTTACAGTCTGAAGTTAGAAATAGGAAGCAATTTTTTTTTTTTTATTCTGTACTTTCCTAAATACGTATATTTTTATACTGTACTAATCCCAAATATGTTTTAAGTTTTTGATGCCATTGTATATGATTACTTTTAGTGCATTTTACATGTACAAGATCATTTTGTCAACTAATTCTAGATACAATGGGTAGAACAATTTATACTACAAGTGAACAATTATTTTTAAAATTACTGAACTAAAGAACATCCATTCATATAAGGCTCACTGAAATGTGCAATGTAACAAATTTTGGCTCAAGAGGAATAGATAATGGCTACATTGTTGTTTTTAGACTTGAGGGCAAGTCAACTTTGGTTTGCAGAAACTTTTAATGCAAACGTTTATCTGGGGCCCTGGAATAAATGCTTAAGTAGGATTTATGGTAATTAACCGTAAGTGTCTCACCCTCAGGGACAACTACTGCAAAAGTTTACCACTGGTGAGCAATGCTGATTAGTCTTAAATGTTGAGAGATGTTCATCAGTAGTTTAGTACTAATACTATCTTAATGACCTACCACTGACCCCTTGTGAAATAGTCTGGGAACAAGGTGTTAAATGACATTGCAAACCCCAGGCTCTTTCAACTGAAGATGTTGCAAAACCATGTCAATATCTTCCATACAGTATAATTTGTGGAGCATGTCAGAAAGTTGGTGATAATGAAAATGATGCAATAATAATATAACCTGGGCCACAGTTTTGATTTATTAATAGCAAGAAAGAAACTTTTCTCTTACCAAGAATGCGCTCCTCCAGGATGGTGGAGACTTCCGCTGTGGCAACAACATTGCTAGTTGAGAGTTTTCTTGAAACAACAATGGCTGCTGGCAGAAGTTTGGCCACCTGAAAATTTTAAAATAAAAATTTAAAATGCGATAACTATTAGACTATTATCTTGAAAACAAAGCATTTAAAGAACACTGGGGACAAAACAAGTGTAATTACAAGGAATCTGAAGCCTTGGTTCATGACAACCTAATAAAAAATTTAGCACGTACTCACAGTACATTAAACAATAATGTAACAAAATAATGTGCAGTGTAAAGTTTGAGGCAAGACACTTAACATGGCCACATCCAAAACTACAAAACAATGGGGCTTTCAGCATATGCATTTACATTAGATTTTTACTACTCACTGATAAGTATTTTGGGTAGTAGGTATGCCCAATGCATGTCTGGACAGAAGGTTTATACCTTAATTTTTGTTAATCAAACTGAAGATATCAATTATTACTAATAAGAATCAAGTACAAAACTGCTGCATTGTAAATGGCTGCTGGTGCATTATGTTCAATGCAGAGATGGAAAAAAGAAGATTCAGTGAGGAAAGTGCTCTATTTGGTTTCACCAAACTTGTGAAAGTGTTAACCCTGGCCTGAATGACATTGTTCTATGCAATGGACAGTGAAAGGGTTAAACAAATGAGGAAAATAAAAAAGCATGGCATATACATCAGTACAGTGTTTGTCACAGCTCCTGACTCAATAGCCGTGTACACTGGCAAGCAAGATGCACATCCAATAATTACTAAGTTCATCCTAACATTTCTTGACCTGGAGTTTACCTGGAGAGAGTTCCGGGGGTCAACGCCCCTGCGGCCAGGTCTGTGACCAGGCCTCCTGGTGGATCAGAGCCTGATCAACCAGGCTGTTACTGCTGGCTGCACGCAATCTAACGAACGAGCCACAGCCCGGCTGGTCAGGTACCGACATTAGGTGGTTGTCCAGTGCCAGCTTGAAGACTGCCAGGGGTCTGTTGGTAATCCCCCTTATGTATGCTGGGAGGCAGTTGAACAGTCTCGGGCCCCTGACACTTATTGTATGATCTCTTAACGTACTAGTGACACCCCTGCTTTTCATTGGGGGGATGTTGCATCGTCTGCCGAGTCTTTTGCTTTCGTTGCGAGTGATTTTCGTGTGCAAGTTCGGTACTAGTCCCTCTAGGATTTTCCAGGTGTATATAATCATGTATCTCTCCTGCCTGATTATATATAACTTACTTTTGTCCTGACCTACATAATTTTACAGATTTACAATTTCACAAGTATCTTCCCAAACAAGAACAGAAGTGTTAAAAGTTTATACACATTTCTTTGTCAAACAGTAAACTGACCTATGTTGGTCTTAAATTCCTTTGCAACTAATTTCGTAATCTCTCTTGGCTTCTTTTATTTCTTTGATTTCTTAAGTTCCTCTCCTCAGTAATATGGTTCTATGTATATGGTAAGCTTCTATTTATATGTATATGGTAAGCTTCTATTTATATGTATATGGTATATTTATATGTATATTTATATGTATATTTATATGTATATTTATATGTATATTTATATGTATATTTATATGTATATTTATATGTATATGGTAAGCTTCTATTTATCCTCTGGGTATTCGAGGTTTTGAAGGCACAAAATCTGGATCGTTTTGAGGGCACACAGGTGCTTTGGGCACAATCTACACTGTAGATTATGCCAAGAATAACCCAATAATGTTGAGTGATGTTTTAATTTAGGGACCTTAGTGATGAATGAAAGTTTAGGCACAGACCCCAATAGGTCCCGTTTACAATATTTTATTCTAATCGAGAGTTAAGTGCTCAACCCACAGGGGGCCAAACAGCTCCTGGGAATGAAAAGCATTAAGGTCCAGTTTAACAAAAAAGTAAGTAAAGTTCCCTGGATCAAGAGCACTTCCATAGTGGTAATACTGTATATAATGTAATTTTATGTACCTGTGTGAACTTTTAAGACCAGTGTAAAAAAAAAAAAAAATAATTACTGGACCCATTGGAAATAAGTCACTGACTTTTTTTTGGTTATCTTAGGTAATTTACTTGTATAATAAACTATGAATTGTTCTTAGGTGTACCTATACCTAAATAAAACTGCCTAAATCTTGCTAGTTTATTTAAGTACAGGTACACCCAAGTATAATTATCATAGTTAAATTTATGCAATAAGATCACAGTAGTGATATTACTATATGCAAAATAACCAGCGAAAAAAAATAGCGAAATTCCAAGGTCTTTCATGATAAATCACAAAAACCACTTTGAATTTTGACTTTTCACTCTGGTTATTTTTCATAGTTTAATAAGAGTAAATTACTTGAGAAAACCCAAAATGGCCCAAGTGGCTTATTTCCTTATTTATCTTTACTCTCTGAGTTGTCTTTGGTTTAATTTTATATGATTTACTATAAAATGCCATTGTAAAAGTTTCAAAAAACTAGCTAGGCCTAAGTCAGTAGGCCTAGCTTAGCTGTGGTCAGCTGATGGGGTAGATATTTTGATAGGGGAAACTGTAAACCCGTAGGGGGTCATACAACGCTTGGGGAGAGTAAGAGAATCATATATGATACGAGGTATGAGAGTAGCTTCAATTCCCTGGATGAAGAGCCCAGGAGCTGCACCGTAACTGGTGGCAGCCGGTCTATGACAACTGTATTAAACGACCTCACACATCACTACCACCAGCTGCACCAGTGTACACAGTCAATAGGCTCATCCCAAGAGATATATCAGTAGGCATTATTCAATAATAGGCCTACGTCAGGTGATCAGCTGATGGGCGGGAGGTAGGCCGGGCCGGTCATCACAATTCCCACCATATTTCCTCTATTACACCCTTTATCTCTACTTCCTTGAGTGGAGGAGAGGCAGTGACAGGTAGCAAGTTACCTGAGAGGAGGTCCTGGGCAGGTTCTTAGCGAGGGAGGCAGCTAGACGTGCCGAGAGGAGAGCCATGGTACCGTCTTCACTAACACACCAAGATGGACGTCTCTCCCTCACACCACCGGCACCAACACTACACTACAAAACTATTTTACCCAGTATTTATACTTTCTAATAAAACCAACCCACAAAAACCATCTAAACAATAAAAAAAATTATTTACCATCGATCACATACAAGAAAATTAAAAATTATAGCCAAATAACCGAATTCTTTAAAATATTATTTTGGTATGGAGATATAAAAGGGAGTGTGTGGTAATGTTGTCTGCTGAGATGAAAATAATTTTTATTATTTATGTAATACTGGGTTTATAGTTTATTCTCAGAGGCATACTTTAAAATATTCTATACTCTAAAGCACATATACCACATGATGATAAAGTTATCCATATAAAAGGATAATAAAGACTGAACTATTTATCATACAGCTCCCTGTTCTTATATTAAGGTTAATAACCCAGGATATGTAAGTAAGTTTATTCAGGTAATAATAATAATCATATCTTTATTTACTACCAGTACATGTACAGGTATACAGATCATAGTTGATATCAATAACATACTACTATATAGAAAGTCACTCGTTATGTTGAGCATTTCCCGCAAATTAGGTCAGTTTTGTCCCAGGATGTGACCCACACCAGTCCACTAACTCCCAGGATGTGACCCACACCAGTCCACTAACTCCCAGGATGCCACCCACACCAGTCCACTAACTCCCAGGATGCCACCCACACCAGTCCACTAACTCCCAGGATGCCACCCACACCAGTCCACTAACACCCAGGATGTGACCCACACCAGTCCACTAACACCCAGGATGCCACCCACACCAGTCCACTAACACCCAGGATGCCACCCACACCAGTCCACTAACACCCAGGATGTGACCCACACCAGTCCACTAACACCCAGGATGTGACCCACACCAGTCCACTAACACCCAGGATATGACCCACACCAGTCCACTAACACCATGGATGTGACCCACACCAGCCCACTAACACCCAGGATGTGACCCACACCAGTCCACTAACACCAGGATGTGACCCACACCAGTCCACTAACACCCAGGATGTGACCCACACCAGTCCACTAACACCCAGGATGTGACCCACACCAGTCCACTAGCACCCAGGATGTGACCCACACCAGTCCACTACGCCCAGGATGTGACCCACACCAGTCCACTAACACCCAGGATGTGACCCACACCAGTCCACTACGCCCAGGATGTGACCCACACCAGTCCACTAACACCCAGGATGTGACCCACACCAGTCCACTACGCCCAGGATGTGACCCATGCACTCTGCCCCAGGGCCAGACTCATGGAACTCCGTGTTCATCGAGAACTGCAAGAAGCCCCTATCACGAGCCTTTTCCATCCTATGGAGAGGGAGCATGGACACGGGGGTCGTCCCACAGTTACTAAAAACAACAGACATAACCCCACTCCACAAAGGTGGCAGTAAAGCAACAGCAAAGAACTACAGACCGATAGCACTAACATCCCATATCATAAAAATCTTTGAAAGGGTCCTAAGAAGCAAGATCACTACCCATCTAGAAACCCATCAGTTACACAACCCAGGGCAACATGGGTTTAGAACAGGTCGCTCCTGTCTGTCTCAACTATTGGATCACTACGACAAGGTCCTAGATGCACTAGAAGACAAAAAGAATGCAGATGTAATATATACAGACTTTGCAAAAGCCTTCGACAAGTGTGACCATGGCGTAATAGCGCACAAAATGCGTGCTAAAGGAATAACGGGAAAAGTCGGTCGATGGCTCTATAATTTCCTCACTAACAGAACACAGAGAGTAGTCGTCAACAGAGTAAAGTCCGAGGCAGCTACGGTGAAAAGCTCTGTTCCACAAGGCACAGTACTAGCTCCCATCTTGTTCCTCATCCTCATATCCGAGATAGACATGGATGTCAGCCACAGCACCGTGTCTTCCTTTGCAGATGACACCCGAATCTGCATGACAGTGTCTTCCATTGCAGACACTGCAAGGCTCCAGGCGGACATCAACCAAATCTTTCAGTGGGCTGCAGAAAACAATATGAAGTTCAACGATGAGAAATTTCAATTACTCAGATATGGTAAACACGAGGAAATTAAATGTTCATCAGAGTACAAAACAAATTCTGGCCACAAAACAGAGCGAAACACCAACGTCAAAGACCTGGGAGTGATCATGTCGGAGGATCTCACCTTCAAGGACCATAACATTGTATCAATCGCATCTGCTAGAAAAACGACAGGATGGATAATGAGAACCTTCAAAACTAGGGATGCCAAGCCCATGATGACACTCTTCAGGTCACTTGTTCTATCTAGGCTGGAATATTGCTGCACTCTAACAGCACCTTTCAAGGCAGGTGAAATTGCCGACCTAGAAAATGTACAGAGAACTTTCACGGCGCGCATAACGGAGATAAAACACCTCAATTACTGGGAGCGCTTGAGGTTTCTAAACCTGTATTCCCTGGAACGCAGGAGGGAGAGATACATGATTATATACACCTGGAAAATCCTAGAGGGACTAGTACCGAACTTACACACGAAAATCACTCACTACGAAAGCAAAAGACTTGGCAGACGATGCACCATCCCCCCAATGAAAAGCAGGGGTGTCACTAGCACGTTAAGAGACCATACAATAAGTGTCAGGGGCCCGAGACTGTTCAACTGCCTCCCAGCACACATAAGGGGGATTACCAACAGACCCCTGGCAGTCTTCAAGCTGGCACTGGACAAGCACCTAAAGTCAGTTCCTGATCAGCCGGGCTGTGGCTCGTACGTTGGTTTGCGTGCAGCCAGCAGCAACAGCCTGGTTGATCAGGCGCTGATCCACCAGGAGGCCTGGTCACAGACCGGGCCGCGGGGGCGTTGACCCCCGAAACTCTCTCCAGGTAAGACACTGGGGAATCCCGCCTACCAGTGACTGCCCTCGTCTGCTGCCCGTCCCTATCCACTGACGCCTATAAAACCGCCAGTCTTCTTGCCTTTGCTCCAGATTCTCCTCCACCACGATGCTGTGAACACTAACTCCAAGGCTGAGGGACTGATTACCTCATCTTTTGTATATAGTTCTACTGTCTTCCTATTATGTCCTAGAATCTGTATTGATAAAGCCACTGGTGGGCGAAACGTCTACAATAAAGATATCCAGATGTTGCACATGTGTCTTAACTTTCATATTAGATCAATTGTGGTAGATAAATAAGCCGTAGAAGCTATAATAGCGTTATATTGAAGCATATTCCCCTGTCACACCGAGACTGGAATTTTCAATGACGTCAGCAAAATGGTGCCAAGAGGTTCCTGGTTGGCTGTAAGTCTACGTTTAAGTCCCGCCCACTGTATTATAATGCCAAATCGTCAATTATTATCTTAGAAAGAATAATACAATAAATACACGAAAAAAAAAAACGGAAAAAAAGTGAAAATTGAGGACAAGTGAGCAGACCTGTCGCGGGTGGTGACGTCACCCTAGGTGTTTTAAATGACCATAATTCCTTGTAGGAATGTCGTAGAACAATGATTCTGGTACCATTGTGTTGCCAGAGAGTTAAGCTATTTTTCTATAAGATTAACTCAATTTGTGAATTTTTTGGCAAAATTTTTTTCGTTCGCGCTGAGTACACGAAATTACCCCTCAATTGAGGTTCCTAAACCTGTATTCCCTGGAACGCAGGAGGGAGAGATACATGATTATATACACCTGGAAAATCCTAGAGGGACTAGTACCGAACTTGCACACGAAAATCACTCACTACGAAAGCAAAAGACTTGGCAGACGATGCACCATCCCCCCAATGAAAAGCAGGGGTGTCACTAGCACGTTAAGAGACCATACAATAAGTGTCAGGGGCCCGAGACTGTTCAACTTCCTCCCAGCATACATAAGGGGGATTACCAACAGACCCCTGGCAGTCTTCAAGCTGGCACTGGACAAGCACCTAAAGTCGGTTCCTGACCAGCCGGGCTGTGGCTCGTATGTTGGATTGTGTGCAGCCAGCAGTAACAGCCTGGTTGATCAGGCTCTGATCCACGAGGAGGCCTGGTCACAGACCGGGTCGCGGGGGCGTTGACCCCCGGAACTCTCTCCAGGTAAACTCCAGTCCACTAACACCCAGGAGGTGGCCCGGTGGCCTGGTGGCTAAAGCTTCCGCTTCACACACGGAGGGCCCGGGTTCGATTCCCGGCGGGTGGAAACATTTCGACACGTTTCCTGACACCTGTTGTCCTGTTCACCTAGCAGCAAATAGGTACCTGGGCGCTAGTCGACTGGTGTGGGTCGCATCCTGGGGGACAAGATTAAGGACCCCAATGGAAATAAGTTAGACAGTCCTCGATGACGCACTGACTTTCTTGGGTTATCCTGGGTGGCTAACCATCCGGGGTTAAAAATCCGAACGAAATCTTATCTTAACCCATACCAATCCACTAACACCCAGGATGTGACCCACACCAGTCCACTAACACCAAGGATGTGACCCACACCAGTCCACTAACACCCAGGATGTGACCCACACCAGTCCACTAACACCCAGGATGTGACCCACACCAGTCCACTAACACTCAGGATGTGACCCACACCAGTTCACTAACACCCAGGATGTGACCCACACCAGTCCACTAACACCCAGGATGTGACACACACCAGGCCACTAACACCCAGGATGTGACCCACACCAGTCCACTAGCACCCAGGATGTGACCCACGCCAGTCCAGTAACACCCAGGATGTGACCCACACCAGTCCACTAACACCCAGGATGTGACCCACACCAGTCCACTAGCACCCAGGATGTGACCCACGCCAGTCCAGTAACACCCGGGATGTGACCCACACCAGTCCACTAACACCCAGGATGTGACCCACACCAGTCCACTAACACCCTGGATGTGACCCACACCAGTCCATTAACACCCAGGATGTGACCCACACCAGTCCACTAACACCCAGGATGTGACCCACACCAGTCCACTAACACCCAGGATATGACCCACACCAGTCCACTAACACCCTGGATGTGACCCACACCAGTCCACTAACACCCAGGATGTGGCCCACACCAG